AGCTAAGTGAAGGTACACAGGCTATTTCCCTGAGGATTTCCTGGATCGTGTTGATGGACACTGACTCCCTAGGAGAGGGATACAATATGCCAGTTCCCTGAGTGATGTGAAGGACTCATGTTCCAGCTTCATTTAATAAATACACACAAACAGAAAAGACACTTAATTCAAACATCTGCAAGGAAGTGACTGAAACTGATGACATTCTAGGCCACAAGGAAAACCTCTTGGTCACATTATCTGACCACAATGCAGCAAAAACAGAAATTAAACATAAAAGGATAAATGAAAGAAATTAAATCACTTGAAAATTTATTCCTAAATACCTCAAGTCAAGGTAGGGAACAAAACTGCAATTAGAGGCCATTCAAATGTAACGACAATTGGATCTCCGCACAGCAAAACTCATAGAATATAACCAGACACTGCCTGTAGCTCTAAATGTTTTTGTTATAAAACAAGGAAGACTGAAAGTAAATGAAGCATCCAACTCAAGAAACTAGAAAATAAGCAACAAGATAAACTCAGGGAGAGAATTAAAGTCAAGGTAAAAGTTAATGAACTAGACAACATAAAAATCAGTAGAACTGATCAATCTAAGACTCAGCTCCTTGTAAAGATCTGTGAGATATCTAGACTCATAAACGCCCAATAAAGGGAGGGAGCAGGAACTGCGTGAGAGAAAGAATACAAAAAAATAAATAAAAATTAGAAAAGTAAAGGAAATTTAACCAGAGAAGAGTTTTTAAATTATAAGAGAATATTAAATACACACAGTATGCTAGTTTATCTAGAATGTTCAATGGGGAATGCATGTGCATTAGTCTGCTCGGGCTGCATAACAAAATACCAAAGAGTGGGTGGCTTAAACTACAAAAGTTCATTTTCTCACAATTCTGAAGGCTGGAAGTTCAAGATCAAAGTGCTGGCGGGATTGGTTTCTGGTGGACCTCTCTTCTTGGCTTGTAGATGGCCATCTTCTTGCTGTGTCCTCACGTGGCCTCTCCTCTGTGCTCCTGTGGAGAGATATCTCTGGGGTCTCATTCTCTTCTTATAAGGACACCAGTCCTATTGGATGAGGGCCCCACACTTATGATTTCATTTAACTTTAATTACTTCCCTAAAGGTCCCTCCAAATACCATCACACTGAAGTTAGGGCTTCCACATATGAATTTGGAGGCGGGGGGGACACAATTCAGTCCGTAACAGCATGCTTTTCTAGAAAAATTACAATTGCCAAGAGAAGTAGAAAACCACGGAACCAAGTTGAACACGGACATAGAACTATCTCCCAAAAAGGTGTGAGTCAGAGAGTTTAGTAGACAAGTTCTTTCAAACTTTCCAAGAATGTTCCTAGGTGTTTAACTACCCAGAAAGCAGAAAAAGATAAGATGTGTTCCAACTCCTCTTACAAATCTAGTGCAGCCATGTCCCATAAACCTGACAGACATAACCAAAACTTCACCCAGCCTGGCATCTTAGTAAGATCCCAGGTGATTCATATGCATGTTACAGTTTGAGCAGCACTGTACCACATGACACAGAGGGTTTTCAAAATCAGCTCCTCAAATCAAAGGAGCTAGCAGGAGCCCAATGGGCTGAGACCGGGGCAGCCTTGAGCAAGGAGCAGCCCACAAAGGGCAGCGTGGGGTAAGCCCAGGCCAGAGCTCAAGTGTTTACCTAGGCTGTCCACGCCTGTCTGCTGGACATGCAGGGAGGCACTGGGAGCCAGAATTAGAGTGGACCGCCCACCCCAGCGCCACATACACATGACAGGAGTTTTGCATGTTTGGGATATCCCTATATCCTGGAGGATGGTGCCAGAGCAGAAGACACAGAGGTCACAATGACTGCTAAGGGGTATGAGGAGGCAGGTCAGCTTGGCTCAGTGTAAGAAATCTACAGCAGAACTCTCTAGGGAGTAGGGAGCTCCCTGTCATCATATGACCAACCTCCAGGGATATTCCAGAAGGGATGCCAACCCTGAGAGAGAAGCCAGTCTTGATGTCAGATAACTCTCTAAGTTTGTGACTCTAATCTTTTAATGGCTCTATCCCATCCCATAATAACAACTGCTGACTTGGCTGGCCAAGATACACAATTATTCATTTTTAGAAAACATTGTTCCTGCATGCTCTGTGACCTTCTCCATGCCTGCATTACCATCTGTCAGCAGCATCTCTTAAGATGCTAAGTGGGGGGGGCGGGGGGGCGGAAATGAGCAGAATCTGACCTCACTTGCATTATTAGTCAGGTAGGTGCAGACAGGCCTGAGAAGTGCCAGTCAGATAGGTGTGTCTGCATCCCTCGCTCCTCTCGAGTTGCCATGGTGAGCGACCTGTCAGGTCCCAGGCTCAGAGCAGAAGCTGGGAGAAGGCTGCAGGCTTGAGGACCATTCAAGACATCCATTAGAAGCATTATCAAGCCCGGCCTTCCCTCTCTCCATAATGGACTAAATGTTGGCCTGCCACACTAATGGGCGGTTGGCCACAAAGAAGCTATAAGAGCTAAAGCCCTATTCCTTATTATGTGAATTTCAATGACGGGTGAAGTGCTTTCATCATCTCCATTTGCACACTTACACATGCCTGAATTACTCAGTGCCTGGGTCAGCCTTGGTCATGAGCATGAAAAAGGCTATGGGACTAGGAACCGAAAAACCACTGTCAGCATCACCCACACACACTGTGCCAGGCTTTGGGGGTATGGAAGAGCAGATGCCAAACCACCTGTTAATTCCCAGCAGGGCCAATGTCATACCTCCTCCAGTACTGGGTTGCAGGCTTGGAGAAAACAGGCACTCTGTCCCATAAATAGTATGGAAGTTACAATTTACCAAAGACACTTTCTCAGCAAAGCACACCAGGAAATATCCCTGGGGGGATGGGGAGTAGTGGGGGAACAGTGAGCATGACTCTACGAGCACTTCATTCCCCACGGCAACAGGTTGGTTGGAGGCACTAGAATGCCCACCATCCTAGAGTAAGTTCCTGCCAGAATGCAAGAAGCCCCCCAGTGAGCACTGACCAAGTTGTTTATCTCCCCACTCTAAGCTAGGACTTTGGGTTTTCTTTCCTCCCTTTCCGGAGGGGGGGGGGAGGGGGCAGGGAGTATGTTCTGGTATGTATGGAGAAAAGGGAAACAAATACTGGTGACAAGGAAACACAGGACGTTTTTTTAAAGATTTTAAGCAATCTGTACACCAACATAGGGCTCGAACCTACAACCCCAAGATCAAGAGTCCCACATTCCACCAACTGAGGCAGCCAGGTACCCCTTTTAGGACTTTTGACAAAGTTCCTATTCTCCTCCTTTTGGCTACACAATAGGACTGTGCCTCTTTGACCCTGCACCTTAGGTGTGGCCCTGAGACTCACTTTGGACAATGAAATGTCAGTGGAAGTGACATGTATCATTTCAGTGGAAGTATGAGAATAAGGTAGAAGCCATACTTGAAGAGACAATGACTGAACATTTTCCAAAACTAATGAAAGACACTAATCCAGATTCCAGAGATCTAAAAGTAAAAACAAAGAAAGAATAAAGAGACCCACACGTCAACATCATTGTGAAACTACAGAAAAAAACAAAGATAAAGAAAAGTTCTTTAAAACAGACATATGAAAAGAAACAAAACTTAAAAAGAAGTTAGGTGATGGTGGAATTCTGAATTCTCAAGCAGAGTGGGAACTGGAAGACACCGAACTCTGCTTCAGTGGGAAGAAAGGAAATAGTACAAGTACACTGTTAAGTCATCCTTCAAGAATGAGGATGAGATAAAAACATTTTCAGATAAACAAAACTGAAAGCGTTCATCATGAGAACATTCTAAAAGGTAAATTTCTAGTGGAAACATAGCAATCCCATGTGGCAGGTCTGAAACACAAGCAGCAGAGAGAAGTCAACGTGACAACAGGTATTCACAAACTTGGACCATGTCAAATGACAATAGCAATGCTGTCTTAGGAACTTTTTAGAATTAGGTTTAAGGGGTGCCTGAGTGGCTCAGTGGGTTAAGCGTCTGTCTTTGGCTCAGGTCATGATCCCAGGATCCTGGGATCAAGCCCCACATCAAGCCCCACATTGGGCTCCCTGATCAGCAGGGGGGGAGAGGGGGCCTGCTTCTCCCTCTCCCTCTGCCCCCCCCAGCTCCTGCTCTCTCACTTGCTCTCAAATAAATAAATATCTTTTTTTTAAAGATTTTATTTATTTATTTGACAGAGAGACACAGCGAGAGAGGGAACACAAGCAGGGGGAGTGGGTAGAGGGAGAAGCAGGCTTCCCGCCGAGCAAGGAGCCCAATGCAGGGCTCAATCCCAGGACCCTGAGATCATGACCTGAGCAGACGGCAGACACTTAATGACTGAGCCACCCAGGCGCCCCAATAATATCTTTTTAAAAGATAAAAATAAATAAAATTAGGCTTAAAATAATAACATTAAGTTAAGAGGGAAGTAAATGTAGAAAAAGTCCTGTATTATTTGGAAAAAGGATGAAACTATTAGAACTTTAAACATTGGTAAGCTATTTATGAATGTTTTAATTTGTAGAGTAACCACTAAATGATTAGAGAATGTGTAACTTACAAAATCACAGGGGAAATGGGATTTTTTTTTAAACTGTCTATTTAAAATTAGGAAAGAAAAGAGAAAAAATAAACCAAAGAATCGATTAGGAAGCACAAAATAATATAGTAGATTTAACCACAAATATATAGGGAATTATATTAAACATATAAGCTTAAAAACAGCTAAATGACAACAGACATGCCACCAACAATTTTGAATGGCAGCTTTTCCCAAAGCCACCCGCCCCTTGAAAGCGATGGACCACAAGTAGCCTTTTGCTGATGACTCAAGCTGCCCATTGTGACCTTTCATGACTGCTCCTTGACATCACACAGCGTACCTCTCAGAGTCAAGGAGGGCTGGCATGTACCTTCTTTACCTTCCTGTGGGGCAGCTGTGGTTTTCTGGCTCTTGCATGTGCTTTATATGGTTCTTCTGTCTCACCTGCCATTCGTAACTCGGCTCTCTGTGCAGCTGCCCCTGACAGCTCCCGTCCTTTTCCTAACCCACCACTCCTGGTCCGCAGAGCACAGGAAGCATGAGTTGTTAAGAACTTGGCCGACAGAGCTCTAAGGGCCAACTCTGGGCAGAGGACAGCTCCATCTTCCTTACCAAAGGGTTTTTCCACCAGGGGCATTTCATTTTGACTCTGGGAAGTGAGCTACTCTGCTTCAAGAACAATTTCTCATGGAGCCAGAAGCCTTAGAAATTTGCCCTTACAACCCTCACCACCGAGTTCCACTCAGCAGATTTCAATACCACCTGGCATCCTGCAGGAGAAAGAACCCCAAGAAAGCCAAAAAGATGGCCAGCTGCAAATACAACGCCTGCCACGTGGTCCCCATCAAAAAGCTGGAGGAGCACGAGGCTGCCTGCGTCAACAGAAGCACAGTGGAGGAGGAGGACAGCTTGCACCCCCTGAAAGTTAGCCTTCCAAGTTCAGAGCAGAATGGAAATGCCCCTCCAGGGTCCCCCTGGCTCCCCAGTTCTGACGTCTGGAATGTCGATGGCACTAACTGCCATCCCATGTTTGTCCTTAAGACTTTTGTTCCCCAAAAGCTTGTTTGTGAAAGCGACACAAGAGAGTCAGAGAGAGAGGCCCACCCCCCATCCCTGACCACCCCCCAGAAGACCCTCAGACCAGGAGAGTAAACCACCAGCAACAGAAAGGAGCCGCTCGCCTCTTAAATACCTGAAAGAAGATGCAACTCACCCAAATAAAAGCATGCAAAGTAAACCACCCTAGGCTACTTTTTTTTCCACGTAGCAGTTGGTAAAAATCTGAAGGCTGGCAGGACATTCTGCTGGCAAAGATGGGGCAAACAGGCACTTTCAGAACATTGGTGAGAATGTAAGTTGGTAGGTAAACCTCTGTGGAGGGCAGTTTGGCATTAGCTGTAAAAATCACCAGTGTGCTCTGCTTCGATGGGGCAATTCCACTTCCAATAATTTATCCTGTGAATATATTCACACTTGCGGAAAATGAGGTAAGTACAAGGTTATCCACTGCCACGTTATTTGTAGCAGTAAGGGTCAAAGAGTCCGAAATGGTCCAAATATCCCTTAGGGAAGGGTTTGATTAAATGAATGATGGGGCAGCCATACAAAGACATAGTATGCCATGAGGAAGGGTGAGGAAGCTTTTTCTGGACTAGCTTGGAAAGGCTAAAACACGGTATTTAACTCAGACACCAGCAAACTTTTTCTCTAAAAGGCCACAGAGTAAAGATTTTAGGCTTCACAAGCCAAATGTTCTCTGTCACAACTATTCAACTCTGCCTTGGTGGCATGCAAGCAGCCACAGACAGTATGTAGACAAATGAATGTAGGTTCCAGTAAAACTATTTACAGAAACTGCTAACAGGCTGGATGTGGCCTATGGGGCATAGTTTGCCAATCCCTGGTTTAACTGAGAAAAGCAAAGCCTGGAATATGCTGTATATTAATGCTACCATTTTTGCAGAGCTATGGGAGAGAACGTGTATATGTATGTGCTTGTATCTGCATAAAATTTCTCTCAAGGACATATTAGAACAGGTGTCTGCCCACAAGGCCTACAATGTCTCCTATCTGATCCCTTACAGAAAAAGCTGGCTGGTCTCTTCCCTAGAAACTTATCAGCTCTCCCCAGGGAAGAGAACTAGGTGACCGAAAGTCGGGGGAGACAGACTTTACTGTAGACCCTTTAGTATCTTTTATTTATTTTTTCTACAGGGAGACAAAAAAGAAGTAAAAGTTTAATCCTATGGTTTATGTTACACCTCACCGTCTCTCAAGAACATTGAAAACCCTGCCCCCTTTTGCTTTGGAACCCTCCCCTCAGAAAACCACACACCAACACAATGCTACCTGGAATTCTAAGAGGATTCACAAACCAAATTCATCTGTCGTTATTTCATATGTAAGAAACTCAAGCTAAGAATGGAATGTCCCTAAGTAGCAGAGGTATTAACTGTTGGGGAAGATTAAGATGAAGTGGTGATTCCTCAGAAGGCCAGGTGGTTGGTGATGGTTGGCACTCATGATCCTTCCCTCCCTCATGAACCTGAACAAGGGCATACCTCAACCGCACTTTAGCCAACAGCTGGAACACTTTAAGTCTATCTAACAGTTGGTCTCACAGAGGAGGAAACACCGGAATAGGTTAGACCTTCTTGCTCATATTGTGTCAGACAATTTCAACCATCTGCCACAGTGTTGCTCGCAACCCTTCAGTACCTTTTACATGTGAATATATGTGAATATATTACCTGGCCAAAGAATTAAAATACACTTTCTTAATCAGCAAAAGACTTAAGTCTTTTGAAAGTTTTTCAGGAGGAAATCTTAACTAAGTTATTTTTTTTTAGTTTTTTTTTTTAATTTATTTATTCATTTGACAGAGAGAGACACAGTGAGAGAGGGAACACAAGCAGGGGGAGTGGGAGAGGGAGAAGCAGGCTTCCCGCGGAGCAGGGAGCCCAATGCGGGACTCGATCCCAGGACCCTGGGATCATGACCTGAGCCGAAGGCAGACGCTTAACGACTGAGCCACCCAGGTGCCCCTTAACTAAGTTATTTTTAAGTAATCATAACTTTGCCACTCCTGGGCCCTTCAATTCTTTCTACAAAGTGTGAAATAAAGATTTTGAAGGGGAAGGGGAAGAGGAAGAAGAAGTGGAGGAAGAAGAAGTGGAAGAAGAGGAGGAGGAAGAAGAGGAGGAGGAGGAAGTTGTTGAAGTTGTTCTAGGTGTTGGCTTTAGAAACTCCATGATTAATAAAGTGCATGAGCATATAGGAAGCAGGTGAAATAAGAAGGTGATCTGTAGGGCACACATCTATAAACTATAGGCCACCAGGACCAGGAAAAAGAAAAAAGTAATTTGGTTTGGGACATGAATTAAACATTAGTCATGAGTTAATCGTTGTTGAAGCTGAGTGATAGGTAAATCTTACTATTCTCTCCATTTTTTTTTTTTT